ACTACACAACAGATGATACAGTTCCCACAGAGATGACGGTGAGTAATGACAAAAGGGTTTAATTTTTGCGCAGTTTCATTGCCACTATTTGAGTAATGTTTATTCTTTGATAGGCTTGGCACTATTGCGTAAATAATCGAACAGCAACTGGTGCATTCGCCCCTATAATGGTATGTTATATTATTACGTACTTTTTAACATAGAATTGGATGAATTTAATCTATTCTCTACTCAGTATGAATTTGGAACCATTGACCGTCAAAACAATCCAATCAACGTTGTACCAGGGCAATGCGTTATCAACATTCCACTAGAATGCATTTATCATGGAATGCCAAATGACTTTGTGATTCCCTCCCCTCCCCTCCCCAACCCTATTCCTTTCGATCTCTTTTCTATTCGGTGGACTCTTTTAAATACTCTTTGATATGTTTCGTATTTGGGTCTTCATAATACATATTTCAAGTTTAAGTAAGTGTTCTGGTGTTTTGATATTATTGCATCTCTTTATATTTTGCTTATAATACCTAAATCAGTTCTTGGATTGTTTTTTCGAAATAAGTCGCTAACATTGTTAGTATCGCTGATTTAAAAATGGGTTTACTATAAATAACAGATGACATAATGGAGGTCTGGTTACCTATAGCAGATTCAGATAGATTAATACCAAATCTCGGGCATGTAAAAAATAAAAAAGGTATTATTTTAAAGCCAGGTGCTTGCACAAGGAGTGGTTATATACTAATGAACTTAAGATTAATGGTGTATATGAAAATACCAAGGTTCATATTTTAGTAGCACAGGCATTTATTCCTAACCCAGATAATAAACCTTACGTTAATCGCATAAATGGAATCAGACATGATAACCGAGCAGTTAATTTAGAATGGATAACTCCTAAAGAAAATGCTAAGCATAAAATATTTCCAAATAATAGTCGTAGTTCCAGACGAGTTGTGCAAAAGACATTGGATGGGGATGTTGTTAAGATTTGGAATTCCATTACTCTCGCAAGTAATACTCTTAAAATTGATAGAGGTAGCATTACATACTGCTGTAGTAGAAAGTGAAACACAGCTGGTGGATGGTCTTGGATGTATTATGAAGACTATGTACAACACGATCCCAATGAAAAATGGAGAGAAATCGAGCTTGATTCACGAAAATCAGAGTATCATCCCTAGGAAGAGTCCAGTTGCATAATGGGTTGATCACTCAAGGATCCTTAGATGCTGGATATCTCCGATTTAGAGATTATCATATTAATCGCTTGGAGACCTTAGCCTTTTGTTCTAAAGAAAATGGTAAAGAATATGTGAACCATATCGATGGAGCTACTACTAAAAATAAAGCGTCCAATCTCGAATGGTGTTCACCGAAAGAAAACTCTAGACATGCCATGAGTCTTGGGCTTTGCAATAACAAGAGTAGAAATAAATACCAATATCCTGTCAAGCAGATTTTCGCTGATGGATCTTTCCAAGAATTTCCATCCTTAGCTGAAGCACAACGTACAACTGGGATCGACGGAACAGGTATTGGAATAGTTTGCAGAGGTCGTCAAGCTCATGCTGGCGGGTATTATTGGGAATATGTGTCACATAGTAAGCCCTAAATTATTTAATTACGCAATCTACTAACCAATAATAAATCAGGACGTCGAAGCAGAGCAGGTGAACGATATTTTGAAGAATTTAGTACTCATTTTTGGGAGAGACCCGGTAAGTGAAAAACAAGGTTTCGTAATCAAAATAACGAAAGCGGTGTAAATAATGGCGAAGATTCCAACAATAGTAATGTAGCTAATGTTGCTCCAACTCATAGTGACAACGAAATTTCTAACCATCGTGTTAATGTCCCAACCCGTAGAGCATCACAAAATGGTAGTGATATTAGTATGCCTGATGCCTCCGGAGGTAGGCAACCACTGGATACTATAAATGAGTATAGTTAGACCCGCTATGTATATTACGTGATTGGCGTATAATTATTTTTTATATCATTACAGCCAATCATAAATTAACATGCATTGCCACTTTCTTTT